GCCGTGGGTGACGAGGAACCGGAGTGGCAGACCTCTAATCCGACGCCACTCAGGCATTTTAGAGAAAGAAGCAATTACATGTGGCTGGAAAGGATCCGATCTTTTAATTAGAAGAACTGAGGGAGCGGCAGGGTGCCTCCTCCCCGTGCGGGGAACTTCTGCAGCTCAAACGCTGGAGAGCCAAGGCCTCGGCCCCACTGCTCAGGAAGGGAACCATCTCTGATTCACGCATGATTCCCGTCCCAAATAATTCCTACAGTTCCTACAAATTATGTGACTTGTTACTAGTGAAATAAAGTTTGAACGCGCCTTTTGGTGAATGTGTTCATAAGCTCTTCCTGTCCTTCCATTTTCCAGGCCCAGCAGCTGGCTGACAGGGCGCCACAGACTATCAGAGCCACTGTGGGCAGGGTGGCCTCGCTAACGTGCCCTTCGTGGGTCCTCGAACCTCAGAGAGAGCAGTGTGCTTTGCATTTAGTGGAAAAAGAGGTGAGTCCATATTAATCTTTTACAGCCATATCTGCATGTGCGAATCACTGCTGGCAAATGAACACGAGGATACACCCATGGTCGGCCCCCTTTGGGAGGACACGACATTCAAGGTCTGAACTGGGACCCTTTTGAAACTGAAGTGACTTCTAATAATAATTATTTTGAGACAACAGTGAAATCCTGTGCCCACGGGACAGCGATGGCCTAGGGTCCCTCCATCCCGCAGGACCCACAGTTAGATCACAACAACCCTTTGTTGGTAACTCTGCTTTAATTTATCAAAATCAAATGACAGCTGTTAAATTGCACATTTTCCAAACACATATTAGCTGCCCAGGTGAAAATTAGCTCTTCTTTTTACTTTCATACTTGATTTTTTCCTATTCCTATGAAGTGACATTGGGAAAATAAGTGTCCCATTTTAGAAAAGTGTATTTCTCACCACCTTCCCTTTTGATCCACGAAGTGCCCATGCATCTGTCCTCAGTCAAAACTTTTAAAACAACAAAGCAGAGCAGGTCTAAGTTTATGAACTTTAATATAATTTAAATGCTGAGACATGACACCTAATATTTTAGAGGATTTAAATATTCTGCAGATGAAAATAAAAATAAAGCCAAAGTCATACCATATCAGGGCAACAGGCTGTGGTAAACTGAAGTCACTATTACTTTTCTTTGAAAAATGAAAATCCACCTACGCCAGAAATCATTTGTATAAAAACCTGATAAAGGGGCCGGCCCTGTGGCGTAGCGGTTAAGTGCGCGCGCTCCGCTGCTGGCGGCCGGGGTTTGGATCCCGGGGGCGCACTGACGCACCGCTTGTCCGGCCATGCTGTGGCTCCCACAAAAAGCGGAGGAAGATGGGCACGGATGTTAGCTCAGGGCCAATCTTCCTCAGCAAAAAGAGGAGGACTGACATGGATGTTAGCTCAGGGCTGATCTTCCTCACACACACACAAAAAAACCTGATAAAGCAGGTTTCTTCCAACTGTGCCTGGAGCCAACGCTCGGGATTCGTCACACCTGAAGGGAAAGCTGCTTCTGAGCACTCAGGCGCTTCCTGCAAAGCGCCTGGCTTTCCGAAAACAATCCGAGTGGGCCCCGGCGGGAGAGCGACTGTGCTGCCCGTCCCAAGTCACTAAGAAGATGCAATTCCTGGAGTTTCTGGAGCACTAGCCACACGGGGCTCCAACCCTCAGATGGAATTATCAGCTCATACGGGACTTTAATGGCCCCTTGTAAGGAAGCTAAATCGCTTTACTGGGGTTATGTACAGAGTAAGCGAAAGCTCTGAAGGTGCAGATGGCTCCTGGGCACAAAGTCACAGATTCGCTGCAGCAGCAAGGAGCAGCTTCCAGTCCCGAAAAAGAATCACCAAAACCTTCATTTATTGGCAACAGAACTGGGAAAGCTCACCTGGTTCCACTGAGGAAATCAAGGCTTGGAGAGCGAATGAGGGGTGAGCAGGGGCCAGACCCGAGTCAGCAGACCCCTCATGTGCCCCTTCTGCTCCCCCAGGTCAGCTGAGCACTCAGGCCTGCAGACGCCATCAGCGTCACTCAGCACCAGGCAGGCGTGAGGTATCCGTGAAAAGATGTGGAGTGTTCTAGCGATCCCTAAAACATCCGTAATTTAGAAGATGTAGCTAAATATGAGAAAAGAAAGGAGCAGAATATAGAGGCTGGCTTGTCAGTGCTAACGAAGACGGGGCGGGACAGCAAAGCCACGTGTGTCCCAGGGACCTGGGCACTTGCCGAGGGTGTGCACCGCGAGGGCGCAGCGTCCACTCCACCTCCATTTACCACTCAGTCCTTTTCCTCAGAGCAGAGACCTGAACAGATTTCAGATTTCTAAGCACAATATTTATGGTAGTAAAAGGCGAGGTTTGCTTCAGGTAAATCTGAGCAGCTGAGGTCAGGGAACATACTCCATGATGTGGTGTGTGTGTCGTGCGTCAATGCCGAGAAAATCGGCCGTGGGGCTTCAAAATAAACAAGCAAAATCTGGTAGTAATAAAAATCACATCATCCATCTCGTGATTGTGGAGATCTCCTGCACCCCCACCCCCCAAAAAATTAGAATTTCTGTCCATGAAGTTTAAACTGCCATGGGAGGTGAATTAAATTGCCGTTTGCTCCAACAGCTATAGAAATTTGATTAAATACTTAAAGCATTTCTCACAATTTAGAATTTTGTACGTGGGGAAAAATTACACCTTGAGACTCTTTAACAGTTAACAAGAAAAGAAAAATGCAAAGGACTTTGGGGGTGTGGTGTGGGACGTGCAGTCACATCCCCTCCCTGTTCAGAGGGGGCGGGGCCTCCCGCGTCAGGTGCTGAGCGGGAGGTAGGAACCACATGGCGGGGAGCTGAGACACTCTCCCTCCTCATGAGGTCAGGCGAGGGCAGAGCCGCCCGGTGGCGATTTTCCTTCTGTGACCGGACGTGGGAGACACCTCTGCTGGGAGCCTAACAAGTACTGACTGTTGATGGCCCCGTCTGGGATTCACCAATCATACTCAGAGTCGGCTGCTGCCTCACTGCACAGCCCGAACTGAGGCCGTTATCTGTGTTTATTTTTGTTTTACTTTGTTAGATGAAACCATATAAAATTATATTTAGCAACAAATGTTAAAGTACATTATTACATTTGTTTTGAGGAGAAGTCAGTGATTACTTATGCAAATATTTAGAGACCTTTTCAGCATCAGTAAATTCACAGCACTGGCTTATCAAAGACCCATGCCCCTACATGCAACGTGGTCTCCTGGATTGGGTCCTGGGACAGAAGAGGTACCTTAGTGGAAAACCTGGTTTGACAGAGTCTGTGGTTTAGTTACAGTGCTGCACCACTGGTAATTTTCCAGTTTTAACAAACATCCCACAGACATGTAAGGGGTTGACATCTGGGGAGACCAGGAGGAGGGCTTCTCCATACCGGTATGTGCAACTTTTCTATAAGTCCAAAATTACTCCAAAATGAAAAGCTTATTTAAAAAAACTAAACTTATCAATGAGAAGAAAACGTGCATTATTGTCCTGATGTCTGAAGGTGAAGACTGATTTGTCCTTTTATTGTCTTTTATTTTTTTAAACCACTCTATTGAGGTATGATTGACATGCAAAAAGCTGTACAAATTTAAAATATACAACTTGATGAGTTTGAAGATGAGGATACACCCATGAAACCATCACCTCAATCTATGCCATAAACATATCCATCGCCTCCAAAAGTGAAAGATAAGTATTGGCGAGAGCATGGAGAAAAGAGAACCCTTGTGCCCTCCTGGTGGGAATGTAAAATGGTGCAGCCACTATGGCAAACAGTATAGAAGTTCCTAAAAAAGAGTTAAAAAGAGAACTATCATATGGTTCAGCAATTCCACTTCTGGGCATTTATCCAAAGAAAATCAATCTGGATCTCAAGATATCTGCACTCCCACCTTCACTGATCGCAGTATTATTCACAATAGCCAGGATGTGAACACACCTAAATGTCCACTGATGGGTGAATGGACAAAGAAAATGTAGTTTATGCATACATGGAATATTATTCAGCCTTAAAAAGAAGGAAATCCTTTTATTTATTTATTTATTTGGTGAGGCAGGTTAGCCCTGAGCTATCATCTATTGCCAATCCTCCTCTTTTTGCTGAGGAAGATTGGCCCTGGGCTAACATCTGTGCCCAACTTCCTCTACTTTTTATGTGGGACACTGCCACAGCATGGCCTGATAAGTGGTATGTATGTCCGCACCGGGGATCCACACCTGTGAACCCAGGGCCGCCGAACCCAGAGCCTGCGAACTTAACCACTACGCCACTGGGCCGGCCCTCCTTTTATTTATTTTTAATGGCAGAAAGTTCCATCAACAGTATACGTAACTTGCATCCAACTTTTTAGACACCTGAAGCTCTCAGGTTTTCTTGTTTGTTTGTAGTTCTCACGGAGAGTGAAATTGCTTTAATTGATAAACTAGGCAGGGCACTCACAGTAGATTTGGTCAGTTTTGGGAGAACGGTGTTGGTGAGAACTGGAAAATAGAATTCTAAATGATAGCATTCAGGACCCTACTATCTCAGGCTGTTTGTTGATTCAATAAAACTTGGAAGCTATGAAGGAAAGAAGAGCTTTTTAAATTTCATTATTTGGCCATTAGATTAGAAATGTCTGAAGAGAAGGCTTTTGCCTGTTTTTTGGATTTTTCTATCATATAACTGATGCTCTAAGACATACAGCCTTCTGCATCCCCACCTCCGTATCAGCTGATGTTCTAAGCAGGAAAACTCTATACCATTTTAACGGCTGTTTGACTTGAAAGAAAGAAATGGCTTAGTTAACTTATGAATGCATTAGCCAGCAGATCCACAGGCAGGACCGCTTCCAGCCATGCAGGGCCAGCAGAGAACGGCAGGGCCTCCTCCCAACACCAGATGTGACCACTGCTCTCCTACACGAATGACCGGTCAGCAACCCCCTCCCCAGGGAACCTCAAAGGCGCCCTTACCGGAGGCGAGCTGAAAACGTAGAAGGACGAGCCCTTCAGGGCCAGGAACTTGGGTCTGAAGGTTTGAGAGGAGTCGGTGCCTTCCAGTCGCTCGTTGACCCACCCCATATGCACAACCTGCAGAGGGAAACCTTTACAATTAAAAACCAAGCCTTACTAAGAGCACACTGTTGCAGGGGTAGACAGAACAAGCAAGCAAGTTGTCCCCCACTAAATCAGCACCCTCAAAATCAGGAGACTGGGGGACCTGGGAAAGTTGAGATCAATTTCCAAATCTCCAATCAAGTAGACACGATACGAAACTGACGTATCTTGAATTAAACGTCCACAGTTCTGTATTGGGCCAGGTTCCAGATGTGAGTTTCTACATGCTTTTAGTTTTGACTTCTCAATTGCATTAGAATTATTCATTCCATATAGATTTAAACACAGTATTTAATTACATTCTATTGTTGTTAGTGCAATCGAGTGGATTCAGACTCCTAGAGACCCTGTGCATAGCAGCAGAGCAGAATCCTGCCCAGTCTTTCTGTGCCATCCTCTCACCTTCCAGTGCTATATCAGATGATGCTCCACCACCATTCACAGGGTGTTTCTGGCCAATTTTTTTGGAAGTGGGTGGCCAGTCCTTCTTCCTGGTCTGTCTAGTCTGGAAGCTCTACTGAAACCTGCCCACCATGGGTGACCCTGCCGGTACTGGAAATCCCAGTGGCAGAGCTTTCAACATCACAGCAACACGCAGCCACCACAGTATGACAACCTACAGATGGTGGTGGGGTTCCCTGACCAGGAAAGGAACCCGGGCCGCGGCGGTGAGAGCATTGAATCTTAACCACTAGATCACCAGGCTGGCTACATTCTATTAGAGTTACTATTTCAGATTTGTCTATGATGTTGCAAAAATAGCTAATATATTTTCCATGTCTATAGTAAACATAGAGTTGACATGTGGAAAAAATGATTGTTTCTTTATAGTTCAACATCCTAATAACAGTGAGTATAAATACAAAAATATTAGATACTTATAACTGGCATCAAATACTTTCGATTTTGTGACAAAATATAAACTATAACTAATCAGAATATGAATCAAAAAGTTAATGGAAACAGTATTACAATTTAACAATTCAGTGCATGCATTCAAACTAATATTAAGCTAAAATCCCTGTGTCTTACCTAAAATTTTAATGTAACATATATTTTGTAGTAAGTGGTAAGAGTAATTTCATATTAATTTTCTCATTTCCTTATTTTGCCACTTTAAGAAAAACCAAATAATTAACATTTTTTTTAAATACTTTTATTTATTTATTTATTTTTTCCCCCAAAGCCCCAGTAGATAGTTGTATGTCATAGTTGCACATCCTTCTAGTTGCTGTATGTGGGACGCAGCCTCAGCATGGCCAGAGAAGCGGTACATTGGTGTGTGCCCGGGATCCGAACCCGGGCCACCAGCAGCAGAGCGCAAGCACTTAACCGCTAAGCCACCGGGCCGGCCCAATAATTAACATTTTTATGGAGTAAATATTTAAAACAACTTGCACATTTAAACAAAATTAAATATAAATTATCATAAACATGCCAACCACTTTATGAAATCAAACTATCCCATGAGCTGTTTCAAGGTGGGGCATCCTTCAGGTATGAGCCACCCTGGTGCTCCCTGAAGCGCCCTTGATGGAAACTGAGTGAGTGCCAGGATAGCTAGCTCGGGCTCAAGGCAGATCATTCCCGTCTCCAGTTGTTACTTCAGAAATCACTGACAGCTTTCACTCTTAGGTCTAGCGAGAGACTTCCTAGGTCAAGGACCCAGATGAAATTGTACAAAAATCAGACTTCCACAAGCAGGGTTCCTAGTGATGGAAAAACATGCAGGAGTGTGGTTCTATGGAGAGTGGAGGCATAGCTACACAGTCAACATTATCCTGGTCTGATGTTGAATACAAATAATCTAATGCTTTCAAAGTTGTAATTCGTCTTATCAGGCCGTCCTAGACATACAGAGCTTTTTAAAGTAACCCAAGTATTTCACTGGTTCATGGACTCGTAAGTTCCTTACAGTCGAGCAGGAAGACTTAGGAACCACATCAATGTGATAAGATGTTAACATTATAATAGACAGTTTTTTTAATTGAGGTCATAATAGCTTATAATATTATGAAATCTTAGTTGTACATTATTATTTGTCAGTCACCACATAAACTCACCCCTCCACCCTTTGTGCCCACCCCCAACTCCCTTCCCCCTGGTAACCACTAAACTGTTCTCTCTGTCTGTGCGTTAGTTTATCTTCCACGTATGAGTGAAATCATACAGTGTTTGTCTTTGTCTTTGGCTTATTTCACTTAAAATAATACCCTCAAGGTCCATCCATGTTGTTGTGAATGGGACAAATTTGTCTTTTTTTATGGCTGAGTAATATTCCATTGTGTATATATATATACACCACATCTTCTTTATCTAATCTTCAGTCGATGGGCACTTGGGTTGCTTCCACTTCTTGGCTATCGCGAATAATGCTGCAATGAACACAGGGATGCATTAAGTCTCTTAGAATTATTGATTTCAAGTTCTTTGCAAAAATACCCAGTAGTGGGATAGCTGGGTCATAGGGTATTTCTATTTTTAACTTCTTGAGAAATCTCCATACTGTTTTCCATAGAGGCTGCACCAGTTTGCACTCCCACCAGCAGAGTATGTTGGTTCCCTTTTCTCCACATCCTCTCCAACATCCGGGGTCTTTTGTTGCCCATATGAATTTTAGGATTCGTTGTTCTATTTCTATGAAGAATGTCATTGGGATTCTGATTGGGATTACATTGAATCTGTAGATTGCTTTAGGTAGCATGGACATTTTAATTATGTTTATTCTTCCAATCCATGTGCATGGAATATCTTTACATTTCTTTATGTCATCATTGATTTCATTCAATAATGTCATAATTTTAATTGTATAGGTCTTTCACTTCCTTGGTTAAAATTTATTCCTAGATATTTTATTCTTTTCCTCGCGATTGTAAATGGGATTGTATTCTTGAGTTCTCTTTCTGTCAGTTCATTATTAGTGTATAGAAATGCAATTGATTTTTGTAAGTTCATTTTGTACCCTGCAACTTTGCTGTAGTTGTTGATTATTTCTAATAATTTTCTGATGGATTCTTTAGGGTTTTCTATATACAAAATCATGTCATCTGAAAACAGCGAGAGTTTCACTTCTTCACTGCGTATTTGGATTCCTTTTATTTCTTTTTCTTGCCTAATCACTCTGTCCAAAACCTCCAGTACTATGTTGAATAAGAGTGGCAAGAGTGGGCACCCTTGTCTTCTTCCTGTTCTCAGAGGGATGGCTTTCAGTTTTTCCCTGTTGAGTATGATGTTGGCTGTGGGTTTGTCATATATGGCTTTTACTATGTTGAGGTACTTTCCTTCTATACCCATTTTATTGGGAGTTTTTTTTTTTTATCATAAATGGATGTTGTATCTTGTCAAATGCTTTCTCTGCATCTATTTTTGAGATGATTATGTGGTTTTTATTCCTAGTTTTGTTAATGTGCTGTATCACAGTAATTGATTTGTGGATGTTGAACCATCCCTATGTCCTCGGTATAAATCCCACTTGATCATTGTATATGACCTTTTTAATGTATTGCTGTATTTGGTTTGCCAATATTTTCTTGAGGATTTTTGCATCTATGTTCATCAGCGATATTGGCCTGTAATTTTCCTTCTTTGTGTTGTCCTTGTCTGGCTTTGGTATCAGGGTGATGTTGGGCCTTGTAGAATGTGTTAGGAAGTGTTCCATCTTTCTCAACTTTTTGGAATAGTCTTCTTTGAATGTTTGGTAGAATTCTCCAGAGAAGCCATCTGGTCCTGGATTTTTATTTTTTGGGAGGTTTTTGATTATTGTTTCAATCTCTTTACTTGTGATTGGTATATTCAGATCCTCTATTTCTTCTTGATTCAGTTTTGGAGGATTTGAGTCTAAGAATTTATCCATTTCTTCTAGATTGTCCAATTTGTTGGCATATAGTTTCTCATTGTATTCTCTTATAATCCTTTGTATTTCTGTGGTATCCGTTGTAATTTCTACTCTTTCATTTCTAATTTTATTTAATTGAGCCTTCTCTCTTTTTTTCTTAGTGAGTCTTGCTAAGGGTTTGACAATTTTGTTTATCTTCTCAAAGAACTAGCTCTTAGTTTCATTGATCCTTTCTACTGTTTTTCTGGTTTCAATTCATTTACTTCTGCTCTAATTTTTATCATTTCTCTCCTTCTGCTGATTTTGGGCTTATTTTTTCTTTTTCTAATTCTGTTAGGTGTAGTGTAGTTTGAAATTGCTTATTTGAGATTTTTCTTGTTTGTTAAGGTGGGCCTATATTGCTATGACTTTCCCTCTTAGGACTACTTTTGCTGCATCCCATATGAATTGGTATGGTATATCTTCATTTGTCTCTAGATATTTTTTTATTTCTCCTTTAATTTCTTCAATGATCCATTGGTTGTTCAGTAGCACGTTGTTTAGTCACCACATCTTTGTCACTTTCCCAGCTTTTTTCTAGTAGTTGATTTCTAGTTTCATAGCATTATGGTTGGAAATGATGCTTGATATGATTTCAATCTTCTTAAATTTATTGAGCCTTGCCTTGTTTCCCAACATATGGTCTATCTTGATAAGGTTCCATGTGCACTTGAGAAGAATGTGTATTCTGCTGTTTTTGGATGTAGTATTCTATATATATCTATTAAGTCCATCTGGTCTAGTTTTTCATTTAAATCTACTATTTTCTTGTTGACTTTCTGTCTGGATGATCTATCCATTGATGTAAGTGGGGTGCTAAGGTCTCCTACTATTATTGTGTTGTTTAGTTAATATCTCCTTTTAGGTTTGTTAATAGTTGCTTTATGTACTTTGGTGCTCCTGTGTTGGGTGCATATATATTCATAAGTGTTATGTCCTCTTGATGGAAAATCCCTTTTATCATTATATACTGCCCCTTTTTGTCTCTCATTACCTGTTTTATCTTGAAGTCTACTTTGTCTGATATAAATATGGCAACACATGCTTTCTTTTGTTTGCCATTAGCTTAGAGTATCATCTTCCATCCCTTCACTCTGAG